CACGATCACAATCCTTGCTTGTGAATCTTACTTCAACAACAGTCCTCGACTGTTAATTCCAGCAGATTAACGATACCCTACACTTGTAAATGATCACCACAAAATACCACGGCTACAACAACTACCACACTAACCACCAACAACATGGCTTTGATACCACTGTTGGATATCAGTTATAGTGGATAAACTCCAAAATTTGATTAATTAATTTATTAACACTAAAAAAATAACGGAAGGCACCAAAAAATACTAACACCAAAACACCAAAATAAAATTGTATTAATGAGAAGCAACACTTTCACAAAGCTTAATGAAATAATTACTTACTTGCTTTTTTTTTTTTTTTGGACCACACACAATTGCAAATGAAACCTGGCCTTTATACTAGTGAAAAAGGTGGTGGAGGTCTAAAAAATCTAGACCATAATTTTTTTTTTTTTTTTTTTTGTATCTAGATCTTTCTCTAAATAATATCTAGATTTTTTTCTTCTAAATTAATTCACACCAAATTCTACACCACAAATGATGTAGATTTTTTATTGTGGAAGATTCTAAGTACCAATTATTAAATCCTAGCAAACTAGTTATCTAGAAAATTATAGCTTATGCCAAAGAAGTCGGCCATGACTTTTCTAAATTAATCGGTGATATTTTAATAAACTACAAGGTAAAGACTAAGAGTGACTCAGGATTGCTAAATAAACCTTGGCAGTTGGCTGGCTGCATATTTGACAGGGACAAGACATAGAGGAGATGCAGGAATAGAAAAATCAAAGGGGACTCTTCTATTTCTATCCAATCCTCAAGGCTTAAACGCCTGAACCATAGATTAACTTGATCTCTATTACTGCTAGAGAATTTGGAGAGAAAGAGATAGAGAACGATGATTGTTCAACCAGTGGAGAAGATTCACATCATTTCTATGCTAATCCTGTGTTTAGCACAAGCTCTATCATTGCCACTGGAGCCTTGTCAATATAATTGTGGTAATGTTTCTTTCGAATTCCCATTTGGAATTGGAAAAGACTGTTATCTGAATGAGAGTTTTGAGGTAACTTGCAATTACTCTTTTGACCCTCCAAAAGCTTTCTTAACTAGCATCAATATGGAATTGCTAGATGGCACATACAAATCAGGACAAGTTCAAGTCAACAATCCAATAATTTATTCGGATTGCAGTGACAAAGCCTTTAATCGTTCACGGGTCTCCATATCAGGCAGCCCTTTTGTGTTTTCAAATTCAACAATCCAATAATTTATTCGGATTGCAGTGACAAAGCCTTTAATCGTTCACGGGTCTCCATATCAGGCAGCCCTTTTGTGTTTTCAAATGATTCTAATAGGTTCACAGCCAGGGGTTGTGACAACTATGCTATGCTTGTCCAGGATTTTGGTAATACAGTTGGTGGATGCCTGTCAATTTGTCCTAGCGGAGCTAATACAAGCGGGTGCTATGGGATCAACTGCTGCCAGGCCACCATTCCTCCTTATATACAGTCTTTTGAAGTAACTATGACGAACCCTTTTGGCATCAGGGAGGATAAGAGCAGCTGCAAGTCCGCCTTCATAGTTGACCAAGACTGGTTTGCGTCAAGACACCTTGATGATCTGAACCGTTTGGAAAATGTCCCTGCAGCGCTTGACTGGGCAACTTATCTAGGTTTTTGTGATATCAGTCGAGAGTCAAATATTGTTTGTACCTATGACAGCAGCTATTGTTGGAAAGAGCTCAAAAAGAATCGAGTCTGCATTTGTGATGGATGTCAAGGTAAGGAAACATCTATATTCCTGCATTTGAAACCTTGTTTTATTATTATTTTTTTTCTGGTGCATAAATAGGAGCTATCAGGGTTTTGAGCCAACCTTAGCCTCTGCATTATTAAGAAACACTCACTCATTAGGATAACAAAAAATTATATATGTATATACATATATGAAACTTTTTTATTCTGAAACTCTGACTTATATGAAATCTAAAACAAATATCCATGACTTTGGCCAATGTAAATCTGTTTGTTTACAAGTCCAATTCATGTCGCGAGAGGTTTCTGATGTCATTTGCATTATATGTTACAGATATTGGCAGGTGTACAGATCCACGGGATTATAGATGTCGTTTGTATTGTATTTATACACCAGGAAGCTACCATTGCTCGTGTCCTTATGGGTATAAATCTTTTGGCTATTGGTATAAATCTTTTGGCTATGGCATGAGATGTTACCCACCATATTTCTGGTCAGGCAAAAGATCTCGAGCCAAGTTCATCATTATAGGTATGCAAGTTTCTTTGTCATAAACATTAACTACTTTTGGATATGGATTTTTTTTAAAAAATGAAAAATTTTATGATAAAAGTGGAAAATACGTTTTAACTTTGGGAATGGAATAAACTTTGAATCAATCTTTCGTGTTGTTCAGGCTGTGCATCAGGTCTTGGATTGCTGTTATTTCTTATCAGTTTATGGTTGCTTTACAAGTTAATAAAGAGAAGAAAGGCCATGAAGCTCAGGCAGAAGTTCTTCAAAAGGAATGGTGGGTTGTTATTACAACAACAACTGTTTTCTACAGAAACAAATGTTGAGCAAACAAAACTATTTACTTCCAAGGAATTAGAGAAAGCAACTGATTATTATCATGTTAACAGGATCCTTGGCCACGGGGGTCAGGGAACCGTTTACAAAGGAATGTTGACAGATGGGAGAGTTGTAGCTATCAAGAAGTCGACAGTAGTGGACGAAGACAAGCTTGACCAATTTATCAATGAGGTGGTGATTTTATCACAGGTAAACCATAGAAATGTGGTTAAACTAATTGGATGCTGTCTGGAGACAGAAGTTCCTCTGCTAGTCTACGAGTTTATCCCTAATGGAACACTCTTCCAGTATATTCATAACCAAAATGAAGAGTTTCCAATTACATGGGAAATGCGATTACGAATTGCTACAGAAGTCGCAGGTGCTTTATCCTATTTGCATTCAGCAGCTTCCATACCTATTTATCATCGCGATATCAAGTCTTCAAACATTCTGTTGGATGAAAAGTATGGAGCAAAAGTAGCAGATTTTGGGACTTCAAGGTCAATTTCAATCGATCAAACTCACGTGACCACTAGAGTACAAGGAACATTTGGATATTTGGATCCCGAGTACTTCCAATCAAGCCAATTTACAGAGAAGAGTGATGTTTATAGCTTTGGCGTAGTTCTTGTTGAGCTTTTAACTGGACAAAAACCCATCTCTGCAGTGCGATCTGGTGAAGAAAGAAGTTTAGCTACATATTTTCTGCTTGCAATGGAGGAGAATCATTTGTTTGAAATTCTTGATGCCCGGCTTGCCGAAGAGGGTGAGAAAAAGGACATTATTGCAACTGCTAAACTTGCAGAGGGATGCTTGAACTTGAACGGGAAAAAGAGGCCTACTATGAAGACAGTGGCAATGGTGCTAGAAGGGATTAGAGCCTCCCTTGGAGCTTCTACAAACGTTAACGAACAGGATTATGAAGAGGTTGATTATTCTTTAGGTGACCATACCGGGCCATGGGATGTTCCTTCATCTACTTCAACTGAATCGTTGAAGGGTATAATGCGTACCCGTTTAGATCAGCAACCACTACTTTCTAATTAATTACACCGATTTTGGTCTTTAATCCTTATTATACTTTTTTGTTCATTTCACAAATGAATCGTAACCGTAAAATTCTTTTATTTATAAATAAATATAATTTAAAATAAGTAATTTAATTGAATTTCATAAAATTATGTTTGAAATAAATTTTTAAATGAAAATTTATTTGTCTTTATTTCTTATAACACTCTTGACGTAATAACTCAACAAAAATAGATAACAAACACCAATTATATTTATTATGTACAATATAATAACTTGTCTTTTTTTTATTAAAATATAAAACAAAAATAGATAACAAACACCAATTATATTTATTATGTACAATATAATAACTTGTCTTTTTTTTATTAAAATATAAATAATAAATTTCATATAACATAAGTACACTAATATTCCATGCTAATTAATTAATTAAATATAAACAGTAATATTCATCATAATAATTATTTTGAATTGATATAAAAATTTTATTGATTTAAGTAATTAATTTGAAAATTAAATAAAATATTAAGAATGTTACTATTATTTTTAATTGCATTTGAAAACAATTGTTGATACTAAATTTTAATAGTTTTATAGTAATAATAACTAACGTTATTAATAATAGACTTAAAAAAATGTCATAATGGGTTTGGAATTTAAAAAAAAAAACAAAAAGGAAAAAAAATAAAAATATAAACTAACACATTATAGAATTAAAAAAAGTAACGTTATTATATAGTTGTGGGATTTTCTAAAGAAAATAAATAAAAAGAAAAAAAAAATAGTTGAGTTTATAGAGGAAAGTAATTTTATCAATAAACATTTCAACAGTCAACCTTATGAAATTAATTTACAAATTTCATCAATTTGAATAGGATATTTAAATTAGATATAACCAATTTTTATAAAAATTAATTCGTAAAATTTAAATTTATATTTTTTTATTACAAACACAATATTTTAAATTTTCAGATCAACTTAACAAAATCCAAACGGTCTCTTTAAGACAAATACAATGTCCATTTTTATAAGATTAGTACTCAATAAAATGAAATGATGATATTCTTATTTTCAGTAAAACAGAATAAATTAAAGATTGAGGATCGGCTACGTTTCATTTCATTTTAGTTTATTTGGTAATATATCATTATTGGAGACATGATTGTCTTGGGAAAAATTATTAATTCAGCCAAATGAAAAATGGTAGTAATTAAATAATTTAGATTAGAGATATTTCATGCACAAAAATATCAATATCAAACAATCAGGATCCGTGATACTGTATCTTGGAAAAAGTAGTAACCACGTGTCAATAAATGCAAAGCTCAGACTCCTACGTAACCGTTCACGTGGCATGCACACGGATATATTAGCATTTCTCTCCGATCTCCATTTCCAGAAAGCGCTCCAAAGTGAGCAAAAAGGCTTGTGAAGTTAAATGCTCAAATCTTCTCTTTCCTTTAAACGAACTTGTCTTTTCTATTCCACTATTTACACTTTCGAATCTCTTTTTACAATAATTTCCAATCCACAGAATCGACAATATGCTTCGGTCACCACTTCCGGTTCCGTACGACTCCACTTGCGCCAGTAAAATGCTTCTCTTCGCTTTACCTTTCTCAAACAACAACACCAGCATTTGCTCTTTTTCGTTTGGAGCTTCTCGTGCACTCGATATGGGGTAATGGTGGTTGTAAACGTTTAATTTCTTTACTCGTGTATATCAGTGTATATAATTATAAAATTTTGACTCTGGTTAATGTCTTGTTAGATTGAAGTTTAGTAAACAAAGCTTGACTAGCAGCGGAGATCGCATTTTCAGTCAGGTAGGTGTTTATAAGCTCTTGATTAGGCTTTTGCATTTTTTTTTTTTTTTTTTATTTTTTTTTTTAATATTGAAATTGTATGACTCGATGTTTGTTTTGGCATAGATTAGACTTTTTTTTTTTTTTTTTTTAATATTGAAATGTATGACTCGATTTTGTTTTGGCATAGATTAGACTAAGAGTCGAGGAAAACATAGAACACTCAGTGTTTGTAGTCGCGGTGCTCAAGAACGTGTGCTTGAGGTACTTATAGCTCTTTTTATAAGGAATTATGCAAATCTTATTGGTTTCTTTTTATCTCATGTCTGTATTTGTCGTTTTGTGATTGTAGGAAGGAGCTCCTCAAATGTTGAAATCCCTTCCGTCTTTTAAAACTTTTCCAGGTCAGGCATTTCCATTGGGCGTCTCAGAAGCTGATAACGGGATCAATTTTGCTATATATTCACAGCACGCTACGTCAGTAACGCTTTGCCTCTCACTTCCTGAAAGGTAGTTGTTCAATTGGTTTTTGTTTGTCGTTTTTCCTTTTGTGGGCGGTGTAGCTGCTTTGTGGTCTGCAATTGTCAATGAATGAAAGCAGCATGTTCTTAGTTCTTCTGGTATCCGAATTCTTTGTAAGATTTGGGAACCAATTAAAGTTTCCATGTGTATAATTGGTGAAGATTATAAACCGGTATTCTTGTGATCAGTTTAATAGGATTTTCTTTTATGGTTCAGATTCCGGATTGGGTTCATCCCTGTAAGTAACGGGGCAAACTGGACTGTAGACATGAAAGCGTAAGAACTCAACGGTCCCTTAGGTTAATCTTAAACTACTAACTTCTCTCTTAGGCAATTTATCTGTTGCTTGTGATTTTAGATGATTCTGCAGAGGAGTTGCTTTGAACTTTGCACCAAACTGTAGTAATATTTAGGAGAAGCTTTCCGCTGCTTATGTTATTTGAAATTTTTTTGGAAAAGTTAATGGTTATACAGTCTGGCAATTTTTGCAAATGCATTTGGCCATTTTATATTCAAATGTCTATTAATGTGAGGTTTGTTTTAGATGAGATTGCTATCCATCTATCGGCTTTTATGTTTATGAGACAGGAACTGAAATATCGGTGGTTTGCCTTTGACTTTGCCTTAGTGATTATAATCTTTTGAACTTATGTATATTTGGTTCATTATTAAGTTTTCATTTTGTCCTGCTTTGCCATACGTAATGTGTTGTTTGTCCATTAAATCTTAGGGGAGCACATGATAGGCTGGCTGCTGAAATGATTGAACTGGCTTTGGATCCTCATGTGAATAAAACAGGAGACGTTTGGCACATATGTGTTAAGGTAGTCATTCCATCAGGCTATATGAAGCAGTGCCTTCACAGTGTTAAGGCTATCCTTATCTTACTCTAGGTTAATTTGTTTTACTGACAACATAACTTTGCATGTTACGTTAATGAGGGAACAAGAAGAGCATACAATAAATCTTGTACCTCGTCCAGCTCAGTCACTGCTAAAATTGTACTCTTTTTTCTTTTACCAGTTTTATTTCTTGTTCGTGCTTTTGATATCATTTTTGGAAATGCAGGATTTGCCTCTGAGCAATGTTCTTTATGGCTATCGGATGGATGGTCCTCAAAGTTGGCATCATGGGCATCGATTTGACAGGAGCTTTGCGCTTTTAGATCCTTATGCTAAGCTAGTTGAAGGTCGTAGATATTTTGGAGATTCTAGCCACAAGTTGTCTACATTTCTTGGAACTTATGATTTTGATAGCTTGCCTTTTGACTGGGGAGATAACTACAAGCTTCCAAATATTCCAGAGGTAGCTGAATTCAATTTCATGGCTGTAATATCATGACGTTATTTTCGTCTTTTTTTTTTTTTTTTTTTTTTTCGTCTTTTTTTTTTTTTTTTTTTTTTTTTTTTTTTTTTTTTTTTTTCACTTGAAATATTTTACTAGAGGAAGAAATTTGATAATTGTGTGCTCTTCTTCTCCCTGCCTTCGTTAAATGTCTGCTATTTCCTGTATGTACGTCCCCTGAATTTGTAGATGATATCCAGCTAATAATCTGAAAACCTTCTCTATTAGTTGTTTGTTGTTCATGCTTATATTGGGAGCTTGTTTTCTTTCTTTTTCATATGTTCGCTGTTGTTTTTTGCAGAGAGATCTTGTTATATATGAAATGAATGTTCGTGCATTTACAGCTGATAACTCTAGTGGCTTGGATTCAAAAATACGTGGTAGTTACCTTGGTGTAATCGAAAAGGTAATGACTAACCTATTTGATTGCTGATATGCTCTAATGAATAGTGTTTGATCTTGAATGTGTTTATCTAGTGTTCATGGTATCTTCAACTTTCCTAGTTGATGATCTTTTTGGAATATTGGATCTCTAGAAGCAGTAACTGCAAAGTCAAAGAAAGCCTTCAATACAAATTTGATTATCCATTTAGTAATTGTTGCCAGTAACAACTTGGATGCTTTTAGGTCAATGTTTCAGGAACCATAGGTTTTTTTAGCTAACTAAGCTTCTTCTTGCTTTTTCTTTTTCCATTTCCTTGTTCAGTAAAAAGTAGCTCAGTTCTAAAGTTGTATCTAAACCTTGCTATGCTGCATGAATTTTTCATTGAAGAAATTCATGTATTAGTGCTGAATGGCTCATGTCTTTGGTCTATAGAGACAAGTGGCCATTTTACTGTTTTTAGGTACTTTCCTAACAATTATTTTTCATTCATTTTTAAGATCCCACACCTTCTAGAGCTTGGCATCAATGCAGTTGAGTTGCTGCCTGTGTTTGAATTTGATGAGTTCGAGTTTCAGAGGCGCCGAAATCCCAGAGATCACATGGTAAAGCAACACTTTTTAATGGTCTTGCCATTTGTCAATTATTTTACTGCATGCATTTAGCTGTGAAGCCTTGAAATGCCTTTTTTTTTTTTTTTCCACATTTTCTCATATTTTTATTTCTTTTCTTGATATTGGTTGTTTGCTCTATGTCTATTTAGATTATTTCGGTTTTGAATCACTTCAGTTTTGAAATGCTTCAATTTGTTTGTCTTTTGTTCATATAAACCATGGTCTGATGGAATATAATGCAAGGAAACAGAAAAATTCAAAATTGATATCAACGTGCACTACCAGAGACAGATATTAAGAAGTGAAAATTCATACACATACTCATATGTGTGTTATGTGTAAGGATGTGGGTTCATGCTTATGTATCAGTTGATGTTCTTATGTTGCTTGATTGGAAATGAAAAATAAAAGATCATTCTTTCTGATTTTGAATGTAATTGATTTCTCCTTAAAGCGAGTTTCATCTTGCCCTTTGGTTTTTGCATTATTATACTTGAAGAGATTGCAAGGAAAAGAGATTCAATTGAGTTGAAATGTCTTAGCCGATGATATCTCCACAGATCATTCCTCTGATTTAGGAACATATTACAATTAATTTCCTGTAATTAATCTCTGTAATTCCTTTCCATATTCTGTTTGTATTCTCCCTATTTAAAGGGCCTTATACATCAATACAAATCATCAAGAAGCCTTATACATCAATACAAATCATCAAGAATTCCAAATCCTCAAAACACTTTCATGGTATCAAGACCTTCGGTTCTTGAAAAATTATCCCTCCCTTCCTTTCTCTGCTCATATTTTTTAGCTCTGCCGGCCGATAAGCATGACACAAACACCCACCCCCATTTCACCCTGCCTACCTCTGTGGACTAACATCCAATCAAAAATTAAGAAACCCTAGATGGTAAGCACAGTTTACATAACACATTCATGGGTGAAATTATTCAAGTTTCATTCTATTGGCATACCGTGTTCTTGATCACATTGATGACACGCCACCCCAGCCTCTACAGATCCATCATACAGTGATTGGAAAGAAATAGTTGCCTTGGTGTCTCAATGAATTTACAGGTACCGTGTCTGATGAAACTGCTCACCCGACATTGCCTCGACACTTGAAGCTACGCTTAGGGAAAAAAACATGCTGAAACTTGAGAAAAGGCTTTCCCTTAGCAACAAGAAAGCAAAAGCGCAGCTCTTAAACAAAAAATTCGTTAATCTCACCCTTGCAGCCTGCAGTTCCGTTGATGGATTACTGCAAGGAAATTGAAAAGACATCGCCGACCAACTGAACGGATGTTGGACCAACCAGTTACAGAATCCCGATTTGGTCTTACAACTGGTTTCGTGGGCTTCCTCCAAGAATGCGACGCCTAAGCTTCTCTTATTAACTCACAAAACCAGGACTGGGACCTTGCACGAACCATGTTAATGATGAGGTCATTCGCCAGGCTGCACGACAACAAACCACCTCTGTTCCTTGTCGCCCAACCACGCAGACAAACCAAACCCAGCCGCCACAACTCAACAAACCGTTGAAAAAACAATCAAAGCCTCACAACATTTCTGACCACTCCAATTATTAGAGGCCGTGGTCGAGGCAGGACGTAGGCAGAGGCAGAGGACGCGGCTTACAGGGGGAACTCTCCGGGGACTCCTTGTGGGCTATAACCCATCAGTCCGCCCAATTCTCAGTCCGCCAATCAAACCTACCCAAAATGGGCTTGGTGGAACACTCCACCTTGTCCCTACCCAACACAAACTCCATGGCCACCAAATCATATTCAAAACACACCCAATGCCCATTATGCCGCTTATTTAGAACAGCAGCCATACGGCCCAGCACCACCATATCCCCCTCCACCGCATACTGGATATGATGCTTTAAGTCCTTCCGATCTCAGCCAAGTTTATAACACGATGCAACTCAACTACACAGATCCTGATCATGGATACAGGGGCAGAACGTCATGTCACTGACAACCGAGGTATGATTCGCAACCTTGACTCTTTTCCTGTTAACACTAAACTTTTAGTCGGCAACGGACACTATTTACCAATTGAGGGCTCAGGAACAGGTTACCTTCCCATCCTTAACCATACATACATCCTCCCAAACATACTTTACAGCCCACATATCATTAAAAATTAATTATCTGTCCGCCGTTTTACACGTGATAACAATATTTCTGTTGAATTTGACCCTTTTGGTTTCTCTTTGAAGGACCTCAAAACGGGACAGCTCCTTTCCAGGACAGCTCCTTTCCCGCCACAATAGTACCGGAGATCTCTATCCTGTCACTCCACCAACCCTACCACCACAAGGCCTTGTTTCAAAATCACATCTCCCCAATTTACGCTTGCACGATCCGCCCCTTCGGTCACCCTTGGCAGCACAAGTTTTTTAGATGTTTTTAACCAAACAGTTTGGTCCTTCCTTGTAAATAAGACAAGGCATTTATTTTTTTGCAATTCTTTTGTCATTTTATCTAATAGCAAACGATTACCTTTTTATGAGTCAAATTCCTTACTTTTTTTCACCATTTGATATAATCACACTGTGACTTGTGGGACCCTCCCTAATTCCAACCAAATTGGATATAAATACTACATGGTGTCTAATTGATAAATTTTTCCAATTATGTGTGGGTATATCCCTCTCAAGTTCAAATCTGAAACTTTCACCACCTTTAACTAAATTCCATAAAACTCATAGCCACGCCAAATTTCAAGCCGCATAATCAAAACTTTTCAATGTGATTTGGGGGGAGAATTTGACAACCACTTGGGGGGAGAATTTGACAACCATAACTTCAAAATTTTTGCCCAACAACATGGTCTGTTATTCCGTTTTTCATGCCCCCAAACATCTTCCCAAAATGGTCGGGCTGAACGCATGATTCGTCGTCTCAACGACATCATCCGCTCATTCCTCATCCATGCTGAATTACCACCTATGTTTTGGGTCGAAGCACTTCACACTGCTGCCTATCTCCATAACATCTTTCCAACCAAACGTCTCAATTATTTCACACCCACTTTTGCCTTATATCTCCGCCACCCGACATACGATCACTTACGGTTCGGGTGTGCTTGTTATCCCAATACCTCTGCAACCCAACCCCACAAATTACACCCAAGATCCGTTAGATGCATCTTCCTTGGATACCCTCCAGATTTTAGGGGATACCGATGCTTTGACCCTACAACCGGGAAGATCCACATATCACGACATGTAACCTTTGATAAACAAATTTTCCCATACACCATTCCAACTCCACCCAAAACATACACATTTCTTGATGAACAACCACCACCAGGATTTAAGTTTATACAACCTCACCCAACACCAAACACCACCCAAACCCAAAAACGCCCAATCTCTCCTTACCCCATAATATACACTCGCCGCCATAAACAACAGCCCCTTAACCCAGTGGCCAATGCTACGACACCCCAACAACACACTGCTGCACCTGTCTCACAAAATCCCAACACTCAGACCACCGCTGTATCAAAACCCGCACAGAATACTCATCAAATGACCACCCGCTCCAAAGCGCGCCATGCCCTTATGACCACCTCAATTTCACCAATACCCACCTCTTATGCAAAAGCTTTTTCTGACCCTCATTGGTTAAGTGCTATGCAGGCTGAGTTTCGTGCTTTGCAGGAAAATGATACATGAGAACTCGTGCCTCGCCCTCCTGACCGACCGGTCATTCGGTGTATGTGGCTTTTTCGTCACAAATTTAAATCAGATGGGTCACTTCAAAGGTACAAAGCACGCCACGTTTGGGTGGTAAATGGAAAATCTCAAAAAGTGGGCATTGACTGTGACGATACTTTTTAGTCCCCGTAAGTGAAAACCCGCTACTATACGGACTGTGTTATCCCATCATGCAGTTTCCCGTTCTTTGGCCCATACACCAAGTTTGGAAATGTCAAAAACCGCGTTTTACATGGGCATTTAAATGAAACTGTTTTATGCATCAACCCCGCGGGTTTTCCACAGATAGAAGATACAACTCATTTTGTGTGGGCAGATTGAAAAAATCCTTTATGGGCTCAAACAGGCTCCCACGGGCATGGTACAACTACAGATTTGCAGCCCATCTGCTGTTCCTCATGGGTTTTCGCAGCAGTGTGTGTGACAATTCCCTATTCATTTTCTCAAAGGGAAATCAGCTTGGCTTTATTTACTTCTGTATGTTGATGATATAGTGCTACTGGCCTATTCTAATGAGTTATTGCAAGAATATATATCCCGCACTGCTCTCACGAGAAGTTTGCAATGACAGATTTTGGGCCGGGTGCAATCATTTTCCTGGGAATCAAAGTGACCACGGACATCTGGTGGGCTTATTTTTGGATCAGTCTCAAATACAAAAAAAAGATATCAAATCTCCCAGAGCTTCAATGTCCTCATGCAAACCGTGTGCCACCCCAGTCGATTCTATCATCAAAACTGAGTTGCTTCTGATGGACCCTCTCTTCTGATCCAACAATTATACCGTGCAAGTCTTGCTGGCGCATTAACAGGTATCTACATTCACACGTCCCAGATATAGTCATATGCTGTTCAAGCAAATATAGCCTCTTTCATGCATGAACCGGCCGGGAATCCACACTATGCCTTTCTCAAAAGAATAATCCGATAATTTAACAAAGGCACAGTTGACCTAACGGTATAAAGAATTTGGCAAGGACAAATTTACACCATACCTTGGTAGGGGCATACTCAAGACCAGATTGGGGTGGGAATGCCCAGACTCCAGAAGATCCAACTAGTGGCTACGTGTTTTCTTGTGATAATTTGATTTCTGTCTTCCGGCGCGCTACTATCTCACGGTCTGGTGCAAGAGGCCAGAATATAGAGGAGTAGCCAATGCTGTGCAGGACCAACCTGGCTTCGCAAATTTTAAACTTCCTCGGAATACACCTCCTCACTTCAAGCAGCCTCTGTCGTTCTGTGCTGTTTCCGAGTGTATATGTCTGACAATCCTGTCCAGCATCAAACGCACACCATTTGAGATCCGACATACACTTTGTCGGGGGGTTCGAATAGCCCATTCGGGTCTCACATGTCCCCATCTGATTTTCAATATGCTGACATCTTCACCAAAGGCCTATCTCGACAGTTGTTCCAGTCATTTCGATCCAGCGTTGAGAGCGTCTGTCCTCCGCCAGCTCAAAACTGGCGGGGGGTCTAAGCCGATGATATCTCCACAGAATCATTCCTCTGATTTAGGGGGACCCCGAAAATTTTTAAAAACTAATTTTTCCTGTAATTTAAATTAATTTCCTGTAATTAATCTCTGTAATTCCTTTCCATATTCTGTTTGTATTCTCCCTATTTAAAGGGCCTTATACATCAATACAAATCATCAAGAATTCCAAATCCTCAAACACTTTCACAACCACCTTGACCCACAACAAATTAAGTGACTTACTTCCTTTCCATTCAAAGACTCCATAATAAAGCAAAATAAAATAAAAATTCCACAGACTTGTAGCATCTTTCCTGCCACTAAACTCTCTATCTTAATTTAAGAGAAGTTTTAAAAGATTCTGGAAATACCAATGCTCTTCAGAAAATACTGAATATGTGATTTGCATTTAGGTTTACTCGTTGAAGAGCCCCCTGAGTTCTACATCATGTGTATAATAGTTGAACTAAGAATTTACATTTCCATTTTGTCATAGTTGCAAAAGGTTTTCAATTATTATAGAACAAAACATAAATGAATATGAAGTATCTGGCAGTCCTGAAATAGCACACAAAACTAATCTACTAAGTTAGGCTAGCTCTCTAGAGTATCATAACCAAAATAGTTATAAAAGGAAATTGCATTTCTATGTAGTAGTTATAGCAGAATAACGCTAGCACATTTCTGTACCTGAATAACGCGAGAAGACTCCAAATAAAATTCTCTAAACCACAGGAAACCAAGATCTGTCAAAGTTCCAATGGTCACTGCAAAATTTATTACAGCAAAATTAAACTTAGTTTACTATTGAAAAGCCAAATATCTTTACTTTGTCCACACAGTTTAACCAAGTCAAGGACAGCAAGATGAAACATAATTGTTGTAGCTTCAAGAATCATCATAAGCATCAAAGTGATATAGTGTTAAATAAACAACCCCACAGCAATATTATACACTGTTATCACAGTGATGAAAGAACAAAGAAGATTTTATGCTTGGAATGACAGCTTACAGGCATACCTGAGTAATCCAATATATGAAGGAAGAAAGTAAGCTTGTAAAAGAAGGTCTCCAACTGCTTTAAATCATTCACGGGAATCTCAGACCCGCTATTGCCAAACAGGCCACCGGGCTTCCGAAGATTACCACCAGATACTACTTCATAGATCAGGAACTGCAAACAGTGGACCTGAATAAAGAAAAGTAATGTTCTGAATCCTGGAATTAAGTACACCCAAATACCTGTGCTTAGCATATTGCAACATCTTCAAATGAAAAGTTATATATTTTGGAATAGTAAGACATTTACAGTATAATGCAGCTCCAAGCGGCATGGCTCATTTGCAGCCCAAAGCCCCACAATAATATGTAATCTGGTGAAAATTTGCCACTAAATTAATTTAATTTTCTTGGTAATAAATTTTCCTTCTCTCGCTTTTTCATTTTTTCTTTCTATTTGATGTTTCAGTCCACATGTACAAAATGCCAAAATTTTTTTTAATTCTTCAATCTTTTACTTTACTTTTTGTAAGTTTTCATAATTCATATAAGTTAGAGAATAAGTGGATCAAATTATGTTTGATAAGAGAGGCACATTTGCCACTGTTGCACACAATGTAGCTGCCTGCTGCACATGTTTATTTCTGAATATATATTGTAAGAAATTTTCCAAGTAACAGGATAATATGATAGTTAATCTCCGTGGTAATAAAACCAAACTATGCCTTAACATCCATTTAATCCAATACAGGATGCTGCGGCTCCACGGCTTGATAGCACAATATTGATAAATATTCAGCTACCACCATTATCAACTGAAGGAGGTAATGAGGTAATTTTATTCACTGGTTCATCTTGCCATCATGAAGTAAATACCACCTATGATCATTGAAATGAAATTAAGGGAAAAAGAAGAGAAGAAACAAGCAGGGAAAATAAGTAACAACCTGTGCAGTTGTTGGTGGGACAGCTCTAGGATAAAAGAAGCTTCCTTTACTATTTTCACCTCCTTGTGATTGTAAGTCGGTTTCAGGCTTGTTTGTATTTGCCATCCAGTCTGCTGAAAGAGTCCGCATATCAGAAAGAATCCTGAAATTCAGCAATTAGACAAACATATAAGCAAGGGAAACATTTAAATAGAACACTCAATTAGAAAAGGCAGATTTGCCTTAATTAGCAGATTAAGAAATCTCATCATTTTTGTTTTGGCATGATGTAGATAAGAAAAATTAGAAGATGATGTTAGCTTTGGCTTCTGATCCTCTTTTGGTTTTATTCCAAATATGATGGCATTTTTTAACTTCATTAATAAGTCAACAAGCAATATTTGAAATTTCACCATATGAAAAATAGAAGAAATAAATGTAATAAACATGATTATGTTTGCAACATTTGCAAACCTATTTGACCAGACGAATTATCAGAAACTACCAAAATGGAAATAGAAGTGCAGGTTAACATCGATAATCCCTCCAGATATATAGATGTCACATTCCTATGTCAGAAAAGAAAATCCCTTTTCTTCATACTTAACTTATGACCTTTTTACTATTTCATCATATGTCCTTCAGAGGCAAATAAAAGATCATAAGTTACAAAATGTGAAATTTGTTACACTTCCTTCATCGCTTATATTTTTATTTCACTTCAATAGAACCGTTAGCCCACTAACATGATTATATCATTCATGCTATAGCGTAATATTGAGAACTAAGCTTATGAAGGACATCAAAGTTAATAGAAATCAGTAAACATATAAACAGAAATTCAGATCACAAAATACCAACTCAAAAGCCCACCTTGAAAGATCCTTCTTCTTTCGGAAGGTAGTTCGCAACATAGTGGCTAATGTGTTTTGGACAAAATCTTGAACCTCAGCATGTACAGTTTCCCATAAGGCGTCAACTACCAATGTCTCACAACGATGCATCATGGATCCAACATTCTTTATGCAGCTAATGAGTTCAACGAGTGCTTTCCTTTCCTCAGCCGTGTAATTATATCTTACGACCTGCAAGATAGGCCAAGAAGCATGAACAGACAAGCAAATAATAGTATATATGCAAGGCTAATGAATAGTTCAACGAGTGCTTGTCCGTTTCTCAGGCCGTTGTAATTATATCTTACGACTGCAAAGATAGGCCAAGAAGCTAATGAACAGACAAGCAAATATAGTATATATATAATATATATATATTTATGTAATATATATGTGATGCTACACGAGGCAAAAAATTTCTCAAATTGTTCTATATATTAATTACATGCGCATTCATTTATTACCATGTTGGCGTTATAAATAATTGGAGTTTATGATCCTCAAGTGAGCCTGCAAAAGTCAAGGATAGCGAGTAATACCTTATATATATATATATATATATATATTTATGTAATATTATATGTGTATGCTACACGAGGCAAAAATTCTCAAATTTGTTTATATATTAATTACATGCGCATGTATTTATTACCATGTTGGTTATAAATAATTGGAGTTTATATCCTCAAGTGAGCCTGCAAAGTCAAGGATTAGCATAATACCTTTTCATAGTCAGAAATGGTTGCAGAATTTCCATTTGATTCAGAAGGAATTGCATCTTTACATGGACGAGAAAATTTCCATGCACATTGTTCCCAAATGCGTGCTGTCCACCTGCTTAATAGCTGGAATCCTTCAACAACCATATCATACATGTTTCCCTTGGTTTCTTTGCACCACTCGATATCAGCACCATCTGTCGACTTCAACAACAACAACTGTACATAAAAGTGTAAAAGGCAAGAAACACGTATTAAAATCCTGTAAAACAAAGATTAGAAGAACTCTCATCAATGTGCATAGAAAGAAGGATAAAATGTGTGGCTTGGTGGAGGGGGGAAGGGTAGAGTACCTGATTCATGGCCGACGCAAAACGAATTGCAAAATCATCATGCTCAGCACGAATAGCTCCTATGTGATTGATAATTAGATAATGTCTCTGATAGGTAAAGTATTTTAAGGCTCATCAATTGTATTGAGTATAGCAGGATACTTAAAACTAAAAAATCACCAAAAGATAGTCAGCAATTAATGGCATTAAATGCAAATGATATAGTAAGAAAGGCAATAAACTTGCACCCAATGTGTTTGCAAATGTCAAGTAAACCAATTTTCAATCCATAAACCCAACATGAAACCATCGTTTCAACTAGCCACCATATTTTCAATCCATTTTCAAGTAAGAATACAGAATATTCTTTCCCGGCGGGTATTGCAGACATATGTTTTTCTAAAAAGTATCCACTCATATCTTAATGGTAATTTATGCAACTAAAAAAGCTCTTACAATGCTGAACCATATTCACAATGATGGTTGTCAAAATCAAAAGCGAGAAAGATATAGGCTTATTACCAGATATCGAGTAAAAGATCAAGCAAAAAGTTCATATGGATAGCAATCAACAATGACCTAGGTCAACCAAAATAGAACTGTAAGATGGTACATGAAAAAGAAAATCGAAATGAAAAATGATGTCAAGGATATTCTTGTGCCTCCCGGGGTGGAAGTTCATGAGGTGCTGGAAGGGTGAGGAGGCGAGTCTGTGAGGAAAACTTCTGAAAGTACATTGACAATTCTTTCAAAATTGCTGCTGGAGAAAGATGCAGATCAGGAAAAGCAGGAATCACTGGATCATTCTGCCAGAGAATAGAAATTATGAATGAATTTTATTAGGTTTCAAACATAAGGAGACAAATTATTTTGTGACTTCATAAGTGATGTTTTAGAATATTATATGCACAAGAAGGTATAATCAAAAATACCTTAAAAATATTGATCAGCCTGTTGATTTTCACCCTCTTGTAAAGTGACTCGCTGTCTTTCTCTGATGATGTTGCTAGGACAACAAGAACAGGCAAAACACGCAGAAGAATGTGTCTCTCTGGAAATAGAAGAGCAAAATCTAACTCCAACGACTCTACAGCAAATACTATGAGAACCTGCAGAATGTCTTCTACACTGTTTTCTTTGTCAAGGATCTCAGAATGAATTGTTAAGAGGCAAAAGCATTAAATCAAGAAAACAATGCACACACAATATATTAAAAATAATAAATAAAAAAAAGATAAGAATAATAAGCAGTAAATCAAAGGCATATCACTTTCCAAATGAACTTAGAAGGCATCACAGAGAATTTATGTCAAAGAAGGTCATATTTTAGTGCTTAACCCAAAATATTTCTCCTTCGCTATCATACCAAATGCCTGCAGTATTGTTCAGGATACTTGTTCACACGAAACATCTCAGCATGCAAGTTCAACAAGATAGCCCACCTCGTGCTCAAGAAAATCTGCAATAGTTTACAGATTTTTGAAGGACAATTAAATGATTATAGATTAGATAAGATTTATCTATCTGATAGAATTTGTTCTCTATAGTTTTATTATTACACAACAATCTGTAAATATCCTTTTAGTCCTTTGAATTCTAAATTAATATACACATCAATGAAACAAGTCAGTTTCTGTAAAGTTTCTATTCTGCAATACAGCATAGTGAGTTTTTTTTTTTTTTTTTTTAAGGAATACAGCATAGTGAGATGTAATATACAAACATATTGAGAAAAATCAAGTTGGAACTATAAAAATATAGAAAGCAAAATAATACTACTGGAATAAGTGATAAACTACTGGAATAAGTGATAAGATACTGCTGCATGTTATTGGATCCATAAAAAAAAAGGGCAAACACACACCTGTAAATCATCTAACTCCTCCCTCATGGAATCAATGTCTTGCCACTGAACACTGACTTGCGTGAATGTCCTGGTAAAAGCAGGAATACGTAAAATGTTAGAAAAAATTTTGGGCGAGGGAGGGGGTGACATAGGTGGAGAAAGAAAGCAAGAACAGTGTTAGACTCCTTAGCAAAGCAGTTAGCAAACAAAGTTCCAGTTTGTTGGAACTTAACCAATTGAAAAACTGTGAAAATACACAGCTAGTAAGTAACATCAGGCAGAAAACATGATCCATGTGAAAAAAGCTGACATCAGCTCAAGAAATGTACTGCAGCAGAAAACCGTTTGATTGAACTAATAGCCAGAATTATTATTATTTAATCGAAAACTGGTAGAAGAAACAATTAAAAACACTAAATGTTGACATAATTTACTCAAAAAAGTTTATTCCATCAGGCCAAATTTGACAAAAATAACCTTTCATTCTCATTAGACTTAATCAATGTTAATGAACATTCTGAGCCACACTAAGATTAAGGCAAATTCAAAGATTGCCAAAGAAGATATATTAAGGAGATTGGTTGTTAGGTTAGCATGACCTTTTACAATATTGCAATGTTTTTTATGTGAAGGAGCGTGTCCTGTCCCTAACCCGTGTGTGTTGTGTGTATCCTATTCAACCAATAAAATAAAATTAAAAGAAAAAAGGAGAGAGAGATTGGTTGTGGTAAGAAGATAAAGGGGAAAAAAAAAAGATAATTGTGATAATTATGATCTTGTAGAGAAAATAAAGATTCTCAACTCCAAGTTACTATAACCATAAAGAACAGAAAGGACATAAAACAAAGTAATTATTTTCATACCTCTTATACCAAGAGAAGTCATTAGGTATACTTGCTTTAGCATTTTTAAGATGATCGAGTTGCACTAAAACATCAAGTAACTTCAACATGGACCTGAAGTAATAAATGTATTAAGGAAAGAAGATAACAACCAAGAGAACATCGCAGTCAAACTAAAGTTATATATATATATATATTAGAAAGAAAGAGCGAAAAGGTTTCCATAATACCATAAATGAGTAATTGTAGGCCCATTAATGCGTCGTTCTGGCCTAGAAAAACGTTGCATATCAGCTGCTAGCTGAATTAACAAATTAACAGTTAAGAGGAAGTGAATATCTATCATGCACTCTAATGCAGACTATGTAATAATATTCCAACAATAAAGAAAAGACATGAGATTATATACTTTAGATGCAGCAGATGCTTGCCATCGCTGAATTTCACGCAGACGACTCATCTCCAAGTCCAAAACTTGATATGTTTCAAGATACAAGTCAGCCTGACTGTGTTTCATAGAATCAGGTAGCTGCCACATCAAACATGACCTTAGATTTGTTGTTTAAGAAAATAATATAAACAAAATTGTGACGTTTACTGAACTTTTTATTATCATTTATGACATAGAATTCGCTGTATGGTAACAACCAACTACAAATTGGCTGTGGAATAAATTTTCATGCGAAAAGAATTTCAATTTATGGAAAAAATTACAGAGAAAAGGCTATCTTGGCCGACAAAAATGATAAAAAGGAAACTAATATTCATAACATGGAAAAAGGGGCTCTCAGCGACATCTCAATCCAGGGCATAAAAAATGTTCCAATATTATTATTTGAATTGAAACCAAAATGCACCTGAGGCAGTGCTTTGACGCAACTGCGATATGTATAAAGCACCGATGCCATGCCCTTCCCCTCTTGGATAAGTGCATTCTGTACATATTGGAGAATGTACTATTAAAAATCACCAAACAATTCAAATGCTACAATATTCGAAACCAATAGTCAACTTATCTAATAGAAATAAGCAAAGCAAATGAGTTCTGCGCATGAAATGATAAAGCAAAGAGAGGGGAAAAGAAAGACCACATACCAGCTGATTCAGTGCCTTTGTGTCTTCAGATAAAGATAAGCGATATGCAGAAACATCACTGTACTCTGCACAAGGAAAGGAAATCAATTCTAATTTACTACAAGCTGTGCAATTTTTCCTCTTCAAATTGTTGTGCATGACTTGCCCAGAAATTGCAATCTGTAAGTTACTCAACTACCACTATCTGCAGACTCCATGTTAGTTATTTAAACAATTAAAGTGGCAAAAGCTAACCTTTTCTATTATCATTATTAGTAGATATTAGCTAACATATTCTAAACAATCAAAGGAAAGAATGCTCAATGGAAAGCACAATCCTTCATGACAAATTGACAGCTGCAAGCCTTTTTCTCCTGATTCTTCTGCTATTAATCTTCTTCATTCTTTCTCAGTTTCTTAGCATTAACAGCAAGCCAAGATTTGTTGAGTTCGAGCTTACTTGTCAAAGGTATACTCAAGCTTGAAAATCGAGCTTGAGCTTAGCTCTTTCACAATTTTTTTTTTTTTTAGAAAAAAAAAAATTGCCCCTTTGCAAGCTTTACTGCTCAAGCTCGCCTTGTCTATTAAATGAGCTCGATAAGCAAGATCAAGCTCGACTCATTAAGCTTATCAAACGAGCTTTTCCTGAGCCAAGCCTCAAGCAGCTCGTGAGCAGTTGGCTCATTTACAATCCTATTAACAAGGCACAAAGTTCTCCATATATTTGACCAAACTTTCACATGTGATAATTTATGAATTTAAATGAAATCAATTTGTCCAAGAATTTCAATTTGACAAAAGAAAGGCTACTATAAACAAGCCAAGTTACTTAAAAATCCATGTTTTTTGAATTTTAACCTTAGTAAGCCATGAACTTTGGTTAACACTGCAATTATGACAAAGTTGCATAAATGACAAGTACTTACATTTTCTAATTATGTCTATGCAATAGTTTGATCCCAGGAATACCTATTCCTTTTGCCAAAAAAAAAAAAAAAAAAGTTCTACACCATCCTTAAAGAGACAGGATATGAATTGAAACACGAATAACTGATATGCAACTGAATAACAGCCAATTGCACTTGAGTAGACTGTGGGCGGTACAACAATTCAAGGTGGACCTGAAATTCAATTTCCTAGCAATTAAGGGAATGTATTTTCCTAGCTCATCCCTAGCCATAACTAAAATCCTACCCAAAGTTGAATTGAAGCCTTGATTTTAGCAAACTAATAAAAGATTACGCTAAAAGTTACAACAAAAGAGAAGTTACAACTTATTGAACTTTTAAGTAATTTACCAAGATAAATATTGGCAAAGACATACCAACTGGACTACTGGTTGCTCCCCTCTCACTTGACACCAGAACTGCTGGTCCTTGCACCTCTGGTTGCTCATCCTTTTACATAATTCCCCACAAAAAAATAAGAAGTTAAACAAAAGAGAGTTACAACTGATTGAACTTTTAAAGTAATTTAGCCAAGATAAAATATTGCAGAAAAGACATACCAACTGGACTACTGTTGCTCCCCTCTCACTTGGACAACCAGAAGCTTGCTGGTCCTTTGCACCTCTGGTGGCTCAGTCCTTTTTACATTAAGTTTTCCCCAGCAAAAAAAGAAAAAAAAATGAATAATAATAATAAGTAATAATAATAAAAATAAAAAAGATGAACTATCATTTTCAAAAAAAAAAAAAAAAAAATAATAATAATAATAATAATAATAATAAAAATAAAAAAGATGACTATATTTCAGAACACAAACATAATACACATTATAGCTTTCTTCTTGAAAACTTGCAAAATGATGTGACAACTAAAAAAAAACTACAGGATGGGTACTGTAAAATGAACACAAAGGACTAATCTTGAAGTATAATTGCTTTCAAAGTTTTTAACTTCGTATCATTAAGAAAAATACCCATTAAAGTTTCATCAACGGAAAGATTATTACAACAGAAAAAGGAAGAAAATTTTGTTACCTCCAGAGAGAATGTGGAGAGGGCAGCAATGGCTTCTTCTATTGGAACTGCCATTTAACCTTCTTATTCAGTGGGTACAGTCAGAATTCTATCTCTTTATGTGTCAAAAGCTTAAGAGAGTTTTTGCATTTCCAATGGAAGACAAAAATGAGGTAGATCCGGAAATGTAGTGGTTCTCCAGATTGGTTTGGTGAGTTGAGGCTCGGAATTTTAATGCTGGAACCAAGTCGGAACTAGCTTGATGACTGTCTAAACTTTGGGATTTCTAAAATTGGCATAATATGTGCCTTCAATTACGCTATTGCCATCATAGGACGTGAATAAATTTTTTCCTTTAAAGGGAAAATTTTCCAATAGGATTCCTCTATTTTTCCGGTCATTCCCATTAAGTTCTAATTTTTTTTTTTTAAATTAAGAAATTCATTTAATTTGAAAGATCAAAAAATTAATTTGTTTCTTTATTTATTCTAGAATCTTTGTCTGTTTATCTTTAAACAATTAGTTAACCTATCTTTTTTCTTTAAAAAAAAAATACATTTTTGAAGTAGTACTTTGAACAATATAATTTAATCGATTGTCCATTTATATGAATTTCCCGAATTCCTTTATTTAGATTAGAAAAATATATTACAATTCATCAATTTTATAAATTTCATCATATTTTCATTGTATTTAAAGTTAAAAGTGAGATTTTCCATTCCTCTACTCATGGATACAAATCAATTAAAATTGAGAAATCAAATTGAATTGATTTAGTTTGATTTTTTTTGTTCAGCTATTTAGACTGATATATTTAGTTCGGTTCATAAACTTAAAGCTCAACTTTTAATTTAATTATAGAAAGTAAGTTAATTATATCCAAAATCGAACCAAAACACAATTTATTAGAATCAAATTTTATAGTATTTACAGAACAGAAATAATTTTGTGAGTTCAATTATTAACCAATCATGAATAATCACCTAATGTTAAATTTTAATTCCAAGCTCAAATTGCTAATTGTGCGCATTAGAAAAAGGGGTTTGGACTTGAGAATTCTTTTAGCTCTTTTTCGAAACCAGATTAATTATGCATATTATACTTGGGTCCCATCCCATACGCCACCTGGCCAGCTGCCTACAATTATTCTTTTATTGGTTTGGCTTTGCTTCCGGTTCAAGTGGGGATTAGTTAACGTCTCCACCAAGAAAAATTGAGTACACGTCATGAACTTCTATCATGAACTCAAATAAAATACCATACAGAGTGGTATTCTAAAGCTGCTCCTTTTTTCTTTTTTCTTTTTTTTTTTTTTTTTTTTTTTTTAAGCTGCTCCTTTTTTCTTTTTTCTTTTTTTTTTTTTATGTTTTTTTTTTCAAATTTCTACTTCAAAGATCAGTTGTTTAAAGAAGTACTGAGGTTATGTTAGTGGCAGTGTAATAATTGTAGTGGTCCTCCACTTCATTTCTTTTTTTTTTTTTTTTTTTGAACCGAGTATAGTCCACCTCAGGTATTTTTTTTTTTTTTTTTTTGAACCGAGTATATCCACCTCAGTATAAAAGGAATGGCTCCAAGGTCAAACCCGTTGCCCTTTTTTTTTTCCCTTCTTCATTTTTATGGGAGAATTTTACAATTGCTCTTCAACCGCCTGTCAAGCAGTGTCAATAACATTATTATCAGTTCCCTGTCTTGCAGAAATCACCCGGTCAAGTGTTTGGTCTGGGACAGTGATTCCAGTAGTCTCCATGTCTGCAACTATGGCAATTGCTGCATCTAGTTCCCCAAGGTCGAGACACAGCGAGATTACTTCATTATAAAGCGGACTGGCACAGAATAAAACATTATTAGAACTGAAAGTGAAAGGAGATACAGTTGCTAGCCAATCTCCAAGATGGGTTAGCCAGAATCAAACTTTCTAACCAAGAGTCAATATGTAGGATCTTACCTCCCAAATGCATAACCTAGACTGTGTGTCGTCTGCAAGATCTTCAAGAAAGCTGAAGGCATAGGAGCCCTAATCGCTGCACGTAAAATCATTGCACAATCCCCAATGGTGGGAGTTCCCCCGAGTTCTATTACCTGAAACATTATCCGGTATTTTTTTTTTTTCAGAGTGAAGTATATAACAAACAAGACCTATCAATTGATTTGTGTGAAGAAAGATCTAGGAACATGTTATCTAAGAAAGAGCAGTCTATGCATATCATGAATGAGTACAAAATGAGGAAAGAAGATCTTCAATGTGGAAATAAAACAAGTATAAGCTGCTAGAACATGCCTTCAGCATTACTTTAATTGCCAACTCAACTTCCCATTCTTGTGACCACTTCTGTGGAGGCCTGTTCTTTATTTCTCTCTCCCATGTCCAACCCCAAGCATCAGCTATCGTGTACATGTCTTGTACGTCAAAAACTTTTCTTTCTCTTAGCTCCTTAAAAGCTTCAAATATATCCTCAGGAAACCAGTCCTCATCAGCGTCATCCTACATCCATATGCAGAAGGGTTTAATGTCTTTATGATAGTATGCATTGTCATTACTACCACAATAGTCAGGTTAATGAGAAATTGTGTGCACCGTCATCCAGTTTGGTAATCTCACCGACTGAAACTAATATCAACAAGCGCAACAATTGATCTAAGCCAAGCAGTTATCCACATAAAAGGCAGAGAATTAGCTCAACAAGTTGATCCCCACATGGACCAAAAGAAGAAGAGCATGTATTATAAGCAGTTTTCATACCTCCAGTGATGCTCGAGCGGATCTTCTTTTTGATTTTTTTGATGTCCTATTTGTTTGATCAGAATCCTTCAATAACTGGACTCCAATCATTTGAAGAGGCTTCTTAGCTTCAACTTCCTTGTCCTTAACAACCCTGTCTCCTTCTTGGCTCTCAGTTTGTTCCACTTCCACTTCTACTTCCTCGTCATCATCAGCTTCCTCATCTTCAACATCATCTTCAACATCTTTTTCAACATCTTCTTCTGCAGCATCAATGTCATCCAATGTATCTGAAAGTTCTGATTTATTCATATTCATAGGCTTAACATGATTATCATTCAAGCCTTCTCCAAGAAACCGGCGCTTCCAGAACTCCGTATTTCCTTCTTCCAGCTTTATCCGAGATATTAGTTCATCAAGCTCTTCATCAACCTGAAAACAGAAAACGTTTACATTTAATCCGTGGTAAACAGGAATCTCCAGTTGACACCAAAAGGTGAACAGAACTGCTCAAAGATGAGCTACTAAACTAAGGGTCCAAAACTACAAGGCAGAGAAAAAGACACCATAGCTGATAAAGAACAGGTTGATTAAAAATGAAAGGATAATGAATGCTTAACCTCTTCTTCTTCCTCCTCCACAGGAGGAACCCAAAGGGGTCGACCCCGAGAACGGTTTATTCTCCTTGCTTTTTGCACTCGCTGGTAAAGAACATTTCTAGTTCCATCAATTGGTAGACCCTGTGCTTCTAGCTCTTCCTTCAATTCTGATACTACCATCTTACTTGCAGCTTTAGGCTTTAGAACATTCTGATCAGGACCCTTAATTATTTTCTTCAGTCTTTCCACTACTCTCAGATAATCAGATTCAGATGCATCTCCCAAAACTGCAGGACCTTCATTCTGTAAGGTTCTCCAAAGCTTTCGATGATGCACCTTCAAATCCTCAAGACACCTTTGCTTAAATGAGGTTTCCATCGGATTTGAATATATAAATCCAGCCGCATCAGGATCTAGAGGGGTTTTTCCTCTTCGGGGTACCCACCTCTTGCGTTCACCAGTAAGCCCACCCTCTGCAATATACCTGTTATATAGCCAAAGCAGGAAAAAGCTAAAACAATAGATTCACAATCTAAAAAAGCAAAGGAACAAGATGATTGAAAAGTTTGAAATCAAGTAATACTGTGCATGGAAAAAAAAATTAGAAAGTAAATTATCAACAAGTTCCAGTTAAGACTCAATATGCATGCTTTAAATTAGGCAACATATGCTTGATTCAAGAATATCTGGGTAAATAACAAGTCATAACAAAATTGCAGCAGCTGTTTTAAGTAGTTAATATGCACACCTAGCAACATAATCAATCTCGTATCCAAGTTCAGCTTCTTCTTGCAATGGTTCAATCCACGAGCTAACCAATGTCCGATATTTTCTGCTCAGTATCATGGCTCTTGGTGGAATAGGTTGGTTATCTTTGGCCATAGTTTCTAAAGCTTCCAGCAATTCAACAATCCTACCTGATTCAAGAAGGTATACCATCTTATAAGCATTATATTTAGGTTCGGTAATCAAACACAGGTCAAGGATCCATGAGAAATATTTATTGGAGTCTATGAGACAATAACGAGATAGAAATTCAGGAAAATGAAAGCAATACTGAAATAGAGGAAAACTCTATTCAATTCTCAATGGAAACAGACGTTTGTGAATTTTGCATATTCTGTAACATGTACCTCTAATTTGTTTTTCCCAAAAGGAATGCCAGTCAAATTCAAGGTAACTAGCAACACAAATATTCAAAGATGCTATTACTTTCATTGGAAAATCAAACGAAAATTAGCAGTTAGCACAACTCTAGAAGAGATCAAGAGAACAGGAGTAACTTAGGCTTCAAATAGAATACATAGTAAAACACCATTCGCACAAAAGCTAAAAAAAGACAGGGAACAACCGTGGCTCATGCAGCAGTCCAATCAGGGACAATCTATGATTAATGAGTATTAGGCCCAAAAACTTAAGTCCAGCATCTGCTAAATTTTCCTTTTTTCAATTGAGCCATTAATGCATTCTATCCTTCTCCATTTTTCTAGAACGGCGAATAGAAACTAAAACTATTCATATCAGGGATATTTTCCTGCCTTGTCTGTTATAATCATCCAATTGCTGAATAATCTCACTCTTTTTAAAGATATTTGAGAAAGAAAACTAAATGAAGAGCAAGTTATAGTTTGTTTTGGGGTGATTGAGATGAGGTTGAATCTTTAATTGTATTATATACACCGAGTTTCCTCAAGCATTTCTGGATGCCTTTGCACTGAACTACATAAATCATCAAATCATAATTTTTATTGTTTTGCATTTGTGCATTAATCTTGTTTGACTAGAACATAGATCTGGAGTTCACTAAAAATAGAATTCTGATTGTTTTTCTTGTAAAGCCATTGCTAAAGATATGTGCAAAGTGGGGAGCATGATATATGATCACATATAAAATTACTTATTAACTTCAAGAGTGAATAACAAACAAGAACATGGCCAAAATACATTTTAACCATACAAAGGGAAGAACAAGCAAGCCTTAAATTAAAACCACATCCAATAGGCTGGGATAGAAACAAGAATATGAGGAAATACAAGAAGACAAAGCATTCCAACCACAAGGACATCTCTAAAAAGAAGTTTCAAGTATCAGCTTCTGCTATATTATAACGACAGAATTTAGACACAAATTAAAAAAGCAATTGCAGTAATAAAAAAAATAATCTAAAACACACAAGTGTGCTATGAAAAAGAAAATGAAATAAACATCCCTGTAAAATACCTTCTCGACATAAAGCCCGAAGATACAAAGAAAGTGGATCGCCAAAGTTCCCTTCATTGTGTAATACTTTTGTTCCTCCTTCAAAGTTTCTGAGTGCACGAAAATGCCGAATAGCTTCACGTACCACACAGTACTTGGTAAAGCACTCTATTAACAGCCTGAACATGCAGGTACCCTGTTATCAATCACAGAAGAAGCAATGTATGCACAACATCCACACACACATATGGATGTTACTGCTTGACTCACAACATCAATACACACAGTGTCGATTTTCATAACACGTTATTTTCAGTATTCCATTTGTAGGGGTAAGGGTAGAAATGTAGTTCTGTTTTCAAATGAGAAGAAATCAGCTAGGCAGCACCATGTTTCGATCCTAACGTTCAGCAGGAAAACATAAGGATTATATCAATCAAGATAAAGGTTTTGCACATCTGCTTATCAGGATGTAGGACAATTCGATATTGCTTATTATATAAAACTCTCTGCTTGAGCTTTCTATTTTTATCACGAAATACCTTCAAGGATTTTAACAGGAGTTTTGCCCCTTCCCTTCCCTCCTAATTTTCCATACTTGATATCAGCATGAATAACTCAAAGAAATATAATCCTCACACTAGACAATCTTCCAAGCTCAAAATCTGCAACAATTCAGTGGAGCTTTTATGTTTCGTACCCTCTCTCTCTGCCATCCACCCTCTACTTCCTTCCCCCCAACCCCAAATGTTACATTAGAAAATAAGGATATTTGGTAGGAAAATGTACGCTGTTCATATTCAATAAGCATGCAATTATCAACCCCCTCCTTGAAGTTAGGATAAGCTTCCAATGCTTGCATACAAATAAGATGCTAGAACAGTGAGGAATATAAACATCCAACTAGAATTTTTTCCCCATTTTCCTCTTAGTTGTTTCCTCAGTTTCTTCTATTAGAAAATGTATTGACCCTAATACAAGATCAAACCAACAATATCAACCCTCAACAGTCCAAAGTGTCGTAAGAAGTAAAGGAGAAAAGTGCATATGGTAAAGCAACATTTGCATAAATCTAAAGATTGAGTTGAACTGTGTCCATCAAATTTTTTACAATTTCATCAAAATATCATCTACATGAGACCGCAAGGCACATGAACACAAACCAACACATTTGTGTATGTGACAGACAACAACACTTAATATAATGATTTCACAGGATAAAAATTTATCATACACTTGTGAAATACAAAATTACCAAATAAATTATCTATTTATAAGTTGAGCTCAGACAACCAAATCTAGCACCACCAGTTAAGACAAGCTTACTTGAATTGTATAGCCCAATAAGTCAAGAGGAAGCTGTACTTACGCATAAGTTCTCACATTAGGTTGCAAACGCTTGTGGTCTTCAACCATCATCCCAAGCAACTCAGCAACATCTTGAACTCTGTGTTCAATGTCAGAATCAAGACAGATGTAATATAGATGCTAATAAATATAAAACTTATAACTTGCAAACAATTTAATAATGACTCGGAATTTCAAAATTTAGCCACATGCACCAATCAAAGGGTTATGCTCAAAATGGAGATCGTGGTTTATGGCAAAACATATTCACCAATAGCAAACATTAATAGAGCTTTTACATGACATGAAACTGAAAATTTTAAAATTTTTAGTCATTAAGGAGAATTCTCATATACCCAGGTTTAAGAAAAAGCTGCCAGTGGCAATCCGCAAACAAACATAGCATGTGCTGTTGATGTGCAGCAGATTTTACCTGTCATAGGATTCAGCCCTTGTATATGCTTGGATCACCCAGTTATATGTCTCCGTATCAGGTTTCATATATGCTGTCATGCAAAAACTGTAATTGTTATAATCCAGAAACTTGAGGAGCCAGTACAACTTGAAGAAACCCAAAAATATTCCTTTGCAACAATTTTCGTTAAAAGCATCATTTCTAACTCTCAACCTTCATTTAGTGGGCAGAACATTGACGGAAGCAAGATATGAAATAGAATTGGATAAATGGCTCACACAACCAAGCGACAACCTAATTCACAAAGAAACTAATTTTATGCGAACGCTCGCTAAAGTCGCTAGATTGGCAAAGCAATGTGGCTTTTTATATGCCTGACTACATCTTGATCGAATAACATCCACAATTATAGATGAAACAAAAAATTTCATATAAAATAATGTTTCATTATATATTGTTTATTTTTCCATAACATGCATTATAAAAAATTACTATAAAATGACCTAGAAGAGTATCTGAAATGTGACTGACAGGCATGTCAGACATTTTGTCTTTTTTGTTTTTTTGTTGGACACGGTTTAAGGTGCACATTACATTCTGGCCAAGTTTGAGGCAATTGCACTTGTTAGAAATGCATCCAACGCTGCACATCCTTGTTAGGAGGTCTGTCAATGCATCATAGCAAGTAAGCAATAGATAAGTAAAAGAAGATCGCTGAGTAAGAATAACCTTCTCCATATTCCATGTTCTTAAATGTTGCAAAAGCTATTTCAGGTATTCCACAAGTAGCCTAAAAAAGGGAACAGATACAATCAGAGTTAAATTATAATAAATGACAGGCCAAAAAACAAATTGCAATAATTTAGTAGAAAATAGAGAATACAAGATAAATAGAAATAAACTCTTAACAACATCCAGCCAAAGAGGCAGCAGCAAGAACAGCTTTTATTTGTTTAGGGATGAATTCAGAAACAATTATGCTTCCAACAAATCTTTGAAACATGTTAATTAGAACATATGGTTATTACAATCACAATTTGCTTCCAATATGGTCCAAACTATGACTCTCAGGAGGAGCAATGAAATGGCTTAATCATTTAGCAACGTTTAGGCAAATGGAAATTGAAACGACTAACCTGCACACTAAGAAGACAATTGAAATGAAAAGTTGTTGCCATTCGCCCAGCTGCCTCCATTTCGTAGGAAATTTCAAGAGCATTAGAATGATCCCCAACTTTACAGTCTTCCTCAATCAATCGATCATAGAGCTCATCTGTACCCTTAAGCCCACCTTTGGCGCCCTTCAAGAACACTTTATTGGCATCTTCCAAATACTTATTCTTAACAAGCTCCTCTAACCCCAAAAGAAAAAAAAAAAAAAATTACCAACTTATATACACATTGTACAATAAAATCAAACTGAAATGGTTAAAAAAAAAAAGAGCATACCAACAAGAACTATCCAAGCGAAGCGAATATCATAGTTTAACTTCTCCATTGCTGAGAGGATCTCTAACGCTCTAGTAGCGTGACCCTTGGTACCAAACAAACGAATCAGAGCAATAAATGTTTCGTGGAGAGGGCGAATGCCTGTACTAAGCTCTCTTCTCAACGATTGCATCTGAAGTCAAAGAAACACTAAATTCTAACATAAGAATTCAAAGATAAAACAGTTTCCAAAAATGGAAAAGGCTAGCGAAATTTGAATGTACCGCGCCTTCGACGTCGCCGTTGAGAGCGTGAGCGACAATGAGACCGTGAAAAGAGCGCGGGCCGGGGCTTAAACCGGCAGCAACCATGTCGTAAATGACGTCCGATACACCGACCGAGTCGCGATTTCTCGCGCGTTCCATGAGTTCCTCCATGAAGCTGAACCGCAAGTTCTTCTCTGCGGCAGAGACGGCACCGAGTATTCCAAAATCATCGCTTTTATCTAGTCGCTGTTGTTGCTGTTTCTTTCTTCGCGACTTGGGCTCTGCAGTGGAGGTAGCAGCCGCGTAAACGACAGTGTTTTGGGAGGGAAACGAGCGGAGCTTAAACAAAGGAGGAGTTAGAAGAGAGACGATGGACATTTTGGATAAGAGGGGTTTAAGAACATGTATAGCTGGTAATAAGAGGGAATTATGGACACGTGATACTGCACGTGATCATAACTGGTTTAATAATTAATGTTGGCCAAGTGCCCCTATAATATAATTTGGACAAAACGTATCCTCAACTTTCATAATGACTCATTCTACACTTCAATTTACAATTAAACACCTCCAACTTTTAAATTTAATTAATTAAATATTTATGAAATAATTAAATTGTGAAATTTATTATTTAAAATTTATAATAAATACATACTAAATTGATATTTTATATGTAAAAAATCACAAACACCAAATAATTATTGTTATTAATAAAAAAATAGATAATATTATAAAAATTCATAATTTTAATGGTACGATAACTCCATAAAATTATGGATATCGCAAAATTTTTTAAGCTTTTATCAGAGTCGGGTGATAATTTAAAAGATGATGGAAATAATTTATTTATTTATTTATAATTTCATCTTAATCGTTATTGAACGTGCTATTATTAGAAAATGTTGAAATTGTAATAAAGTGTATAAAAATATCAAAATAGGTGAAATTGCAAAAATATAAAATTCTAGTCACTCACCCCTTGTTATAACCCACTAAAGATCTAATAACAGGAACCAGCAGCCACTCCCACAACACAAATTTATTGGTAATCTGGCTGCAGTAAAATAGACAGATGATGATCTGCGACTACGATCATCCTCATCGGAGTCGAAGTGATCGTTGTCGTCAGTGGCGATTGTGGTGGGAAATGGAAGGAAAGATGCAATTTTCTCAATACTTAACGGCTTAGTTAGAAATGCACTCATCTGCGCCAGTTTCCATGAAGTTTTGAACCTCATCCTCTTCATTACTTGAGATGACACCAACAAATGGCAGAGTAGAGTCCGAAGGAAAAAGACACAGCATCAATTCAATGAATGTCGATGGGAATATCAAATTCACACATATATAATAAGAGAGCGAACTATCTTGTTATATGAAATAAAAAGAATTTCTAACTAGTCAAAAACTAAAAGAAAGTACAGTAGCATATATATATATATATATATATAAATGGATATATAGACCAAGATTCAAAAACTTCATTTCAGTCAAGTTTATGGATATATAAGTATTGCCCTTATTTCTACCGCGATGAACTAGATAGATAATAAGTTGTCGTTGTTGCTAATATTGTGAAACATCCTCATCAGAGTCAACAATACAGTCCCCATTGTAGTAGTCATTGCTTGATGGCGCTTGCGGAGAGCAACGCGGGAGTCAATGGCTTAGAAACGCAGTCGTCTAAGCTTGTTTCCAGGAAGTTTTTCGGCTTAACCTCCTCATTACTTGAGATGACTCCAACAATTACAGTGTTAGTGTCCATGTCTCCTAGTTGATAACTTATGAGAAAAAAGAGTGGGAAATGATGATTGGAAAAGGAATTTTCAATTTAAAAGCCTCATCATCAATGATCAACAAAGAAAATGATGGAAATGAGAAGAATGTCACTAATTATATGAATAAATGCTAATTTCACTGTACTTGTCGTAGATGTTGATGCTATTGCAAGAGCAATCCACAAGCTGTTGACTGTCATTATAAAAATAAGATGTTCATTAGTTTTCGTCTACTAGTTAAAATGCTGAAATGAAGATTAACGTTAGTATTTTTATCGATGATGATCAACAGCTTGTGAATTGCTCTGACAATAGTATCATCATCTGCGACAAGTACAGTGAAATTAGTATTTATTTATATAATTAATGATATTTTTCTTATTTCCATCATTTTCATTGTTCACCGTTGATGATGAGGCTTTTCAACTGCAAATTCATTTTCCAATCACCATTTTCAACTCTTTTCCTCATAACTCATCAACTAGGAGAGATGAACACTGACACTGCCATTGTTGGCAACATATCAAGTAATGACGAGGTTAAGCTAAAAAACTTCATGGAAGCTGGCTTAGACAACTGCATTTCTAAGCCATTAACTCTCGAGAAAATTGCCTCTTACCTTTCATTGCCCTCCACAAGCGCCACCAACGACAACAATGACTACTGCAATAGGGAATATGTCATTGACAACGATTAAAGTTGTAAATGAATCGAGTTGAACCGAGCTTCGATAACATCCGTTTGAGTTCGGCAATAGAAATATATTCATCAATGCAAAAAAACCTGCAAAATAGAAAACCAAAAAAAATAAAAAAATAAAAACCCCGTAAAAACTAAAAAGTGGAAATAAGAAAAATGACAAAAAGCCCAAACCAATCAAAAATAAATAAATTTCGGATATGTTAATGTGTGAAAATAAAAGCATTTCTAACTATTCAAATGCTAATTTTACCTTTCAATTTAGATATATTGCTATTCATGCCTATGAAGCTAAGATGTTTAGGGTTTATATAATCCTTGAAAAGTAATTAGGTTGATTTGTAAATTGTGGCATAGTCATAAGTTGGCAATACATTTAATACAAAATCTAATTACTTTGATTTTTTTCTGCTTTTGAAATAAATTTGAGATGCTGAAAAATCTCAAAAAATCTAAATTATCTAAAAAAAGGAAATGTTACAAATCATATCTACTATAATGTTTATGTAGATTTAGTAGTCTAAAAAAAGTAAAATGTTTATAAATGTCATTAACTATAATGCTCACTTATATTTGGTAGATTAAGGCTGGACTCAATTCAGTTCAATTTGTATAGAAGAATCAAATTAAATTAAAATTTTATTCGTATATCAGGCAAGAGGACATTCGAATAGAAATCTATTGTCAAGTCATATATCTACTTATCACGAGACTATATGTTGATGTGCCAAATTAATTCAATTTGATTTTTTGATATCTTGAAAGAATAAGGATAAAATAAAATAAAAAAATTAATCGAACCAACAAAATAAGATCCCAATTAGGTTCAATTTCTTTCACCTAAAAAAAAAAAAAAAAAAATGCTTTGGCTAGTTCAGACTAAAACGGCCAAACGCTGATTCTTGAAAGTCGTAGATCTTACTTTTAAACCATCAGTATGCAGACCTTAGTTTTAGACCATTTTTTGTGGTATGCCATAATAAATTGAGGTGGTGCCTTACATTTCTGTGAGGGAGGGTTGCGCCCTCACATACCACATAGGAACCAGCAGCCACTTCCATAGTAACGTGCACAAAGGACGTCTCAGACTATTTTAATAATACCAAATATTTATTATGGATTACAAATCTCAGGATATTAACAAACTAACATACATAAACATATAGACCAAAAAAGCAACAAACTTTGTTGAAGTGGATACAGAAAAATTGGTAAATATTCTCCCTTGAGAAATAGACATATGATTAGCTGCCATTGCTGCTGGTGCTGCTTTGCCAATCTTCCTCATCATAGTCATCATCGCTTTCGCCAGTGGAAGCTGTGGATGGAAATGGAAGGAAAGGAGCCAGCTTCTCAATGCTCAACGGCTTAGAGACACAGCCATCCAAGCCCGCTTCCATGAAGTGTTGAGCCTCCTCATTTCTTGATACTACTCCAACAATAGCAGAGTAGACGCCCATGTCTCGTAGCTCCTTTGTAGCCTATTATTCATAATCGATTACCACATAATTAAGCAGCCAATTATATATTTCAATCTATTAACTATATGCAAAATGTAGGTATAAGTGGTGAGCTAGACTCTGGATCTCAATTTATACAAATCCGGAGTAAACTATTTATAAAATTTTAATAATTTACTTTTGTTTCTAAAACAATCACATCAATATACAAAGTCAATTTTTAATAAAACTGAAAATCAAAATTTTTCTCCTAAAAAAAAACTGAATTTCCTGGTTTATGTTGAAAATAATGCATGTGAACAAAAATAAAGATGAGTTATACCTCATAGCCATTCATGACAGGCATTTCCAAGTTCATAAGAATCAGATTATATGAAAGCCCAACACAATGAAGGTCAACGGCTTCTTTTCCATTGAAAGCTTCTTCAACTTCCACTCCATGCTCTGTGAGCATCAGCTTGTGGATTGCTCTCATAATACTATCCGCATCCACAAGCAGCACTGTGAAATTACTATTAGTATCATTATCATTGTTGAAATTAGTACTGTTTCCATCAAATTCATTGCTTGCTGTTGATGATCTTTCTGAACTGCAAATTCTGTTCCCTGACACCATTTTCCACGCTTTTCTTCTCTTCTGTAGACATGAAATTATTACTATTCATTAAATTATAGCATCTTAGTAATGTGCTATACTTGGAAAACATAGTAATTAACATTGTATGAGATAGAGATATCATACTCACATGCATAAAAAGAGAGAAAATTATTTTCATATGAAAACACAAGCATTTCTAACTAGTCAAATACTAAAATTACCTCTATCTTTGCACAAACTTGCTAACCATGCTACAGCAACAATGATGTTGAGGTTTATATAAGCCCTAAACAGTAACTGAAATTTAAAAGATGTCATACAAATTAAATGAATTAAGACTAATCCCAGATTCTCAATTTGTCGGATAGTCTTAAGTTGATATTACGTGTTATGTGGGTTCTAATTACTTTGATTTTTCTTAATTTTAAAGTAAATTTGAGATGTGGAAAATCTAAGAAGATCTCCGTTCTCTAGAAAACGTAAAAATATTATTGATACTCTGCAGTCTGTACACCAATACAATAATTACTTCAAGAAGTTTATGTATATTCATAATCTACTATGTAGATATTACTTTCTAACAATTTTTGACATGCCGTAAAAAAATGCTGAATGAAATCTAGTTTCATTTTAACAATTTCCTGTTTGAACTAAGAAATGCATTTTATTACATTACATCACTCGAACTGTTTTTCGTCTCTTAAAAAGAATAGAATGTATGTAGGGTTGGACAATGACCAAAACGAACCACGTAAACTTGTTAGATTTTAAAAAATTCAGTTTATTTTCAGTTAATAAAAAATTCAAAATTTTTTCAGTTTGATTTGATTTTCAGACATCCTAAAATCCTACATGATTTAACCTAAAAAGCAAGTCAACACCGAAAAATCAAATTGAATTGAAACAATTCAGTTTGACTTGATTCTATAGATAATTTGATAACTTTTATTTTGGTTTATTCAGTTTGCTTAGACTGAGTTTCATTTGAACCAAGATGGTCCTTGCAATTTTGTTAGGGAGAACCAGAGAGGATTGTGCCTTATCGCCTCATAGAGGTGCTGAGCCCTTGCTAAAACACACTAAGGCTTGTTTGGATGGAGGGTATTTGAGGGGTTTTGAGAGTAAGATCAAATAATGTAAAAATTCTAAGTTGTTTGTGAAGGGGTTTGATGAAGGGGGTTTTGGAAGGTCATTTAACAGGTTAATAATCAATTAATTTTAGATTGTGGATTAGTCCATTTGAGATTCAATAAATTTTACATAAATCTTAATCATCATTTTTTATAAATTTTTTTTATTGACTCAAAATAAAAGTTAAATAATCAAAACTAGAAATAAATTAGTATCGTTTCCATGATATCAAGTATGTAATTAATACACTCACATTAAAATATTGTAATTTAGAAGAATTATGATCAGAACGTCAATTTGTACTCAAAGTTATACCGATGGAAACTCTTTGACCATGTACTGTTATTTTCCAAGAGATATTATTATATACATTATACACAATATCAATCATAAAGCTGAATCGATGTTAAACAGATATAAATTCATCAACAATTACATTATCAGTCAACCAGTAAGCCAAACAAATATTAGGAAAACAAATACCCACAGCCAATGAGGTGAAGTTTGACCAAGTTTTTTACATTTTTTTTCTTTTACATACTTTCTAATATTTACTTGAACACTAAAAGGGAAGCCACAATTACTACAGGAACAAAAAGCGAGCCATACAAAGAGTGAGGATCTCAACTTTGTGTCATTGTTCTAGGAAAAATAATTTGACTATTTTATCCTCAAATTATTGATCTTAAAAACAAATTCTTTGGTTCTCATTATATGACTTTAATCTTCTTGAGTCTTTTTTGATCTCGTAATCATTAACAATTGATCCAAGCATCTAATTTGAGAATAGGGCATTGACGTCAACGATTTTTCACCTCAAGCAAAATTAGAATTTAAGAACTGATAAGGATCGAGGATTATTTGATAAAGAAAACGTGAAATTAGTATAATTAAAATTTGCTATAGAGAAAGATGAAGCATTTGCTATAGAGAAAGATGAAGTATGTTCAACGACCACAAATTAGCATCCATGATAAAAATTTGGAACATTATTGAGATAGAAAAATAATTTAATATTGAAATTTAAAAATGAAAGTTAAATATACATTGAAATTTTCTGAAGAGAAATCTATACTAAAGTTGAATTTTTTTTTTTTAAAAAAAAAAAAAAACCTTTTTTTTTCAAAAAATAAATTTTACAATTTTACCAACGTAAAAAAAAAAAAAAAGATTTATATTTTATGATTTCTAACCATTTTTCTATTATACTATTTAGACATAAGACCATGAATAGCTAATGAGATTTAGTATCATTATACTTTTCTCTTTATATTCCATTTCCGTTCCCATGGGCAATCATAATATTGTCTCAACACCTTTATTAAAAATAAAAAGAATAAAATAAAGACCTTGCAAACCTCTTTAAATGAGTTTATTTATCAATTATCTTAATAATAAAACAAAATTTTATTTAGAGAAACCTAAAATGATAAGCTCCATAAATTGACAGCTGCAGCATTGCGCCACTAATTGTACTTGTGTAGTCCTATTTGGTGTCTTGGGAAGACTCAAACCCAGAACACTGAATCTTAAAATATATTTGAGGCTTGTTTACACTTGGGCTTTGTTTATTTATGTAAAATATTTTTCTGAAAAATATATTCTGTATTTCTGGCATTTAAGATATCAAAAAAAAAAAAAAAAAGTCAGTAAAAATATATTATCCTAGTCAAAAAAATTAAGTCATTTCAAAGAAAAATAACTTACCCTATTTTTTCAACTTTGGAAAACTTACTATACTGAATGAAGGAAGAATATATAAATAAATGTTATTAATCTACGGATTATTGCTAATCACTGTTACCATCATTCTCTTGTGTTTTTCTTCTCATATTCAACAGTAAATTAAATACAAAACTTAGTTTTTAAAGGTATATAAATTAAAAATTTTAATGCGTTGCAAAATTTCAAAATTGCAACTGAATAATAGAAAATATGTTCTCTACAAAAACAATTTCTAAGAAAAACATTTACTGATAAAATAATTTCAGAGATAAACTATTTTCAGCAAACAAAGGAAGCTTTAATCAGGTTCAATCTTCTAAGGTTGGTTTTACCATTACTTATAATGAATGGTAGTATGGTACAATTCTTGTAACTAGTTCTTATATTATAAGATTTGGTAACTATAACTAACTCAAAATTTTCTAAATCCTGCTTGTAATGTACCAAGAATTTGCCTTTTTTTTCTTTTTTCTTTTTTCTTTTTTTTAGCATCCTTATACACATTGAATAAACTGGGCATTCACCTTAAAGTTCAAATAGAATTTGGAATTTTAAGATGGATCAGTGAGGACGATTGTATACCGTTTTGGGAAGAGAGGGTTTGATTTATCCTAATTTCAGCAAAATTAGGGTTTTGGGAATTATTTCCCCCAATTCGATTGGTATTTGGGTTAGCAAGTTAGCATTAAAGTATTGCCCAATTTCTAGAACTTGAGGTCTCCCCAATCTCGCGATGGACAGGAGTAGGAATAGGACCCTGGTTTCATGCAATTCTCTCATCACAATATCATTACTAGAGGTCGGATGCTTACCTCGGGGTTGGAGAGAGCGAATCATCTCGATACGAGTAAGCGTTGATGCCAGAGCTCGTCAATTTTTTTTTTTTTTTTTTTTTCCCTTGAACCTCTTGAGCCGATGTCGAGTCAGTTCTGGCCTCCTCCAACTCAGATCGCACCTAGACCATTTTTCTGGATTCGGTCAATTATCGCCTGAAATCTTGAAGAAGAACGACTAATCTGGAAGAAGAAACCTTTCTTCAAAGGTCTGGAAATGCGATGCATTAGTCATCGCTATCCGTTTTCTTTGATTTTGGATACTGGAAGAAAGTGTCTCGCTAGTACCGACACTATCTGGTACCAGGATGTTAGGATTTCCAGTCATGGCGGCTTTGTTTGTGAACTGAGAAAGTTAGGGAAAGGCTAAGAAACAGAAGGAAATTTGAAATGGAGAGAATCTAAAGAGAAGAAAAAAGAAAAGAAAGTTATTCCATAACAGTACACTTTACACGTCACCATTTGTATGAATCCTTGCATGAAACACAAATCAGCACCAACTAAGCAAATATTTGCAACATCAGCAACAACAATTACAGAAATGATAATAAAAAATACAACTCAGTCCACAAGATTACAACCAAATCACAATCTAATCCAATTTAAATGAAATCCCATATAATTTACTTATATTTGTTTAAGCAAGCTCTAAAGAGAAATTTAGAGAATCAATCTTATGTTGGTAGCCTAATTCATGATTATAAATCTATTTCTCGAGAGTTTACTTCATTAAATTTTTCTTTCCTTAAAAAATCAGTGAATCCGATAGTTCATATTTTAATTCGAGAAACTCATTTTGTGTCTTATGTATTGAAGTGGTGTATTGATTTTCCATCTATTATGCATGATGTACTACTTAAGGAAACTAATCATAATAATAATTAATAATTAGTTTCTTCTTAAAAAAAAATCTCATTTTTGTGTGCCATATGCTTGAGTTATAGGTTTATAATGACTAAATGCATAAATATATCCATATACTTTACAGAAAAAACTTTGCGGCAGCCTAAAATTTAGTGGTGACTTATTATGCACTCAAGTTACGAAGATTACTAACATTGTATCCTTCTCTATACTAACAACAACATTTTGTTGGTGTTTTTAATATTTATATGTAAGATATTCATTTAATGTGCGATTAATATATATAATGTTTGGAACATTAATCTTCACATTTTTCAATTATCTAATCAATGTTTAGTTGATTTAATTTTAAAAGTTTGAATATTTAATAGAATAATTTTTATAAGTTGAAATATTTAATTAGTTATTTCATTAATTAGTTAAATAAAAAGATAAGGAATTTTTTTTTTTTTCATGAAAAGAAAAGACACGAAAGGAAAAGTTTCCCTCTGCGTCTAGTTGGGCATGGACTTGGTCAAGTTTAATGAGTAGACTTAGAATTGATTTAACCAATCTTAAAACAAGTTGATTGATGGAACAAGGTTTTTACACACAATTTGTATAACCCACAATTATTAGTAAAACTCGAATTCTTGTATGGAATTGATTGATCGATGGATGGATCATGTCCTGGAATCCAAGGCCATGACGGTGCTAAGATTCATAGGACTCATGTAATTAGTGGAGCCAGAGAATATTTGTTCAACGATTATCCTATTTGCCTTCTCAGACGGATGAAATGGATCCCAAAATGCATACAAGTCTCTGTCTGGACACAAGTTTGATGCTACTGTACATAGTCCAAGTCCGTTATATGGTCCTTGTCCACAACAGGCAACTTTTGAAGTAACAAATCCTGCATTATAAGTTCAAACTAGTTAATCTTTAAAGATTATTATGCTTTAGCAAATATAAACGTATTTTCTATCTATACCATATGCTTGGGGATTGTTGATGAAATCCATATGCATTTGTTGTGTATTTGCACCAATAAAAACATCTTTGCCTATTTTTTTGTTTAGTCCTTTCAGCATTTGAACTAGTTGCGGATTATACAAGGAAGCAGCTCTCTGAAGCTCAGGTGAGCAGCTGCAATTTTTTCCGCCCCGGATAGCTAGTTCTGCCGGAACACAGCCTAGCGGTCCAGTTCCTGTCACAACAACTCTCCGTGCTCCTAATTTATATAGCTCCTACAACGTGGTTGATCCGGACAGACATTGAGTTAGTAACTTAGCTGCTGGATATTTGATCTATTGTTCCTTCTAAATTTATTATGTACCAAAAAAAAAAGATCAATGCAGATAAAGAAGAAATGCGTACTCAGTGGAAAATTACCATTAATAATTTTTTGTACTCTGAAATAAGAAACTTGACATAATCTGGCAAAGGATATTGGCGAGACCTAGCAGATAAAGGAACCAAGTAATAGTTATTCACAAAATCATTGCCACCCACAGTGATAAGAACAAGCGCTCCTTTAACAAGCTTTATAGTCTGATCAGATCCGATAAGAGCACAAACTCGCCGCTTATATTCTTCAAAGTAGTGAAGCTGTCTAAACATTCTAATAACGTCTAGCTGGAAATGTATTTTACGATTTCAGGCAATAACCGAAATAAGGATTTAATTTTTTAAGCCATTGCATAATTGCTTGACTTACAAATTGAACTCCAGTGTCATTCAGGATTCCAATTCCAGCTGAAGCAAAATTAGCACCATTTAACAACTTTTGTCCAGTTAGTTCCGGGCTCAGGTACGGTAACGGAGGTTCCGATCCGATTCGCTTACCTGCCAATGCACCATTATGCATGCTTAATCAATCCAGTGATAAGTGTGTGTGTGTGTGTATAAGACTTAGTTAACAAAAGAGTAATTAATGGTTCAAGAATCTAACTGATAATGTCGGGAATATTAAGGCCATTAGAGAAACGACCGGTTGGACGATGACTTGGATAATCAATTCCATAAGGAGACGAATCAGCACGAGCAATGGTTGCAAGATAGTTATTGTTGCCACTGTCAACAAGTGAATCCCCAAAAACAAACAATGCTCGAGCCTCAACTTGTAAAACGACATCGATACTAATTGTAGCTAGAGCTAAAAGAAAAATCGCCATCTGGTAAATGAATGAAATTGAAGTTTCCATTGTTATTGTATAATCCAAGAATGTTTATGGGATTGATTTCGAATGATGGAGATGGGTTTTATATATATATACGCATAGATTGTGGGTTTCAGCTTCACTGAATAAAAAGGAACATAAACACCGAAAATGCAAGATAGTGTAGTTGGCTTTGAATTGCAACCACTTCTAATAAGTTTTATTGCTGTTATTAATTTGTGAGGTAACTTAAAGTTCATCACAAAGGTAGCTTTTCCATAACTCCTGCATGTGATGATTAGCTGTTTCAAATTGAGTTCCTAATTGCCAATGAGACTTTTCAATTGACCGCTAAAGAAGAGGCAGAGAGATTTAAAAGGTTTGGGTTTTGAATTCTAAATATGTTTGATATATATATATTTCTAACACTGTCAACTGTCAGATTACTACAATTAACTGCCAATAAAAATGGGCGTTCAATGTTAATTTAGCGAGCTGGACAGTAAGTAGAAACCTTGAGCAACCATTAAAACAGTAATAAAACGAACCTGTTAATTAGCGGTAGAAACAGTTGAAATATATATGTAGACAAAAAAAAAAAAAAATATTCAACTACAAACTTTAATCTTTCTTTTTAAGTCTCTTGATTTCTCAACTGTATTTTTGGAATAAAAGCCACCTGCTTTTGAACCTACATCTGATCTGTTTATCATTATTTGTGTCCTGATATGTATGCATTGGGACTTTTAAAACATTCTCATGAAAAAGGATTTTCTTTCTGTGAATATTATATTTTGACCCACAATGAGTTTGCATTCTCAAAGGAGACTACACAGAGCTGTCGTCGCTTCTTATATTAACTTATAAAGACCGTTTAAAGAACCACAAGGAACAATTAGTTTTCCTCTGTTTTTCAAGAAATTTTTGTTAGCTTTTGACCTTTTGTCAACAAAGGGAAACTTTTCCTTTCTTCTACAACCACAGAAAACCTTTCCGCTCTCTATAAATGACATTTTTTCTTTATAATGCACTCTTTTTCTCTTAATTTACACTTCAAATATACAATCGTAGCAAGAAGGTGAAACTGCTTTTTGCATGACCAATTCCCTTACAAGATTCAATTCAGGTTTATACGGCAGAGTGATGGACTTACCTACGACTAATTTATGAGCACAAATAAATAAAAAATATTTTTTTCTCAAACGAAGGAATTCAATATTTATGACCGTCCATTAAGATTTAACAATCTTTTAAAACAACCTTTTTTTTTATTTATATAAATGGTCTCATACATTGGTAGACAAGTTTTTATCGTTATAGTAATAAATTTTTTATAAATACAAAATCAAAAATTTGATCCGTGGAAAGAATTTATGAAAAGGACAATCACAAAGGATATCGAATTATATTTAATTGAAAAAATATATTCAATCAATTTAGACAATTCTGCTTTCAAAACTATAAATGACTCACTTTTTGATTTTTATGTTTCCTTACTAAATCAAATTACCAACTTTTCTAAATTGAGGGGTCATGACCTCTAAATTATTGTTTTCCAATTTTATCTTTATCTTTTAGTATCTCCACTAAGTAACAATTAATTATCTAGAGAATTAATAAAAGAGTAATTACTTTATTTTTTTCCATTGTATATAATTCAATCATTTTTTAAATTTATTTGTAAATTGAAAATTGACAAATTTAATAGAACATAAAAAGTAATTAACAAAATTAATCCATATTTATATAAGACAAAGAGAAAAAAGAGAATTAAGTGCAATTTATTACACAAACAAACATCATTACATTTCAATAGTAATTTAAAGAAAATTACTCCAAACAACATAAAAATGCATCAAGACTTTCCTTAGAACAAGGAACATTTATATGTGTGGGTGTTACATATATTATTATTATTCAAGTAATAATTAACCAGGCTAAAACCAACAAAGCTTCCAAGAAAAGGTGACCAACAAATGAACTAGACCCTTGAGTCCAAAGCCATAATGGTGCTAAGATTCATTGGACTCATATAATCAGTTGACCCAGACAAAATCTGCTGAGCAATGTATCTATTTGCCTTTTCTGATGGATGAAATGGATCCCAAAATGCATAGACATCTCTATTAGGGCACAAATTTGATGCTGGTGTGCATAGTCCTATACCATTATAAGGTCCTTGCCCACAACAAGCTACCTTTGATGTCACAAATCCTGCATATATACCCACCAATATTGAGACAAATTTATTAATTTAGTTAAATGTGTGGAAAAAAAAAGTTATCCAATGTCAAAAATTTAAAAATAAATACTCATCCATTGATTAAATCAATAATTTTGCCGCAAAAGTAGATAATTTATAAACAGGGTTTTTGTGAGTTCAATTGAACGAAAATCATGAAAATGGTAGTCTAGCACATACAATCGACCTAATGATAATGAACAAAATATTGGTGTATGAGTAGTGTCATACATTAGGAGTAAGCAGGGATGTGCGAATAATTAGTTTGGTGTAAAAAAGAACCGAACTGCATAAACTAAATAAATTGAGAAATTCTTTAAATTGAAAATGGAATTGAATTGAGGAGTATACAAAAATTTTTTCAGTTATTTTTAAAATTGAAAAGTCTCGAGTTCAAATCTCAATCAGTCACTTAATGTTATTGTAAATGTGAATGAACTTTACCATAAGCTCCAGGATTAGTAATAAAATCACCAGTCATTCGACCAGTATTGGCAGCAATGAAGACATCTGAACCATACTGAGAATTGAGTTGTCTAAGCATTTGAGTGAGTTGAGGATTGAACAGAGACGCAGCTCGTTGCAACTCAGCAGAGCACTGTCCATTTCTACCTCTCTGAGCCAATTCTGCAGGCACACAACCTAATGGTCCTGTCCCTGTCACCAGTACTCTTCGTGCTCCCAAATCGTATAACCTCTGATCAATAATAATTGGATTGGAGACCAAAAATTAGATTATTTCACCCTTTAACATATGAAAGAAAAGGAAAGAAGTGAAAATTTGATTACCTGAAGGAGCTTTTTGTATTCGGAGATCAGAAATTTGACATAATCTGGGAGTGAGTACTGGCGAGATCTTATAGAATAAGGCACCAAATAATAGTTATTTACAAAATCATTCCCACCAACGGTGATGAGAACAAGTGCTCCATTTACCAATTGCTTTGTTCGTTGTGCACCGATCAGACCAGTCACCCGCCTTTGGTATTGTTCGAAGTAATCAAATTGTTGAAACATTCTAATTATATTTGCCTGAAAATGCATTGTTAATTTTATAATTCAGACTTAAACCTGTTTTTGTTTTCAGAATCTAATTATCTATATAGTTTCTCGATTTTATTTCTTTACCTTACTGAATCTTTATGTTAAATTCACTTTTGTGAAAAGAATTAAATAGTGTAATAGGGATAAAACAGAAAATTACATTAAATTCCAAATGTAAAGAGTCCTGACTATATATTTAAGTGAAATCAGATGACTAAATGGTCATTTACTATTTTCATTGCTCTTATGTACCATGACCAACAGTCATATTTATTATATTAGGGACTATAACGACATTTCAATAATAATTAATGGAAATGACGTTTTTTTTTAAAAAAAAAAAAAAAAAAAAAAAGTATTCCGGTGTCATTCAGGATTCAATTCCACAGCAGAGGCAAAGATTGAGCACCATCAGAAGCCTTTCTCCATTGAGATGTGACTCAAGTAGGCAAGAGGAGGTTATCTTGAGACAATTTGCTGACCTATTTATTATAAAATTATTAGTATAGACAACATTAGAATATTCTCAAAAAAAAAAAAAAAAAAAAAACATTATTTTATATATAAAAAAAAAAAAAAAAAAAAAAACATATACATTATAATAAAAATGAACTCAACTGATATAGTCAGGAATATTATAGCCGTTAGAGAACCGGCCAGTGGGTCGACGAGTTGGAAAATCAATGCCATAAGGGGGAGAGTCTGCTCGTGCAGTAGTAGCTAGATAATTGTTGTTGCCATTATCGACAAGTGAATCTCCAAACACGAAAAATGCCCTAGCCTCAGCTTGAGGAGCAAGAATTCCCATTGCCATGACTAGAACTAACATTGTCGAGGATATGACAATTGTGGAAGTAGCCATGGAATTAGACAGGAAAAGAAAATATCAGTGAGACTTAAGAGACTAAGACTTGCATTGCATGGATCCAACATTAGAGAAACATCTTATATATAGAAAAGGCTATTGTCAATTGAAGGAAAATAATTATGGCCCAGAAAATAAAAAGGCGATCAGTACAAGTAGTTGTGTATTTGCCAATAATACATGAGCCAGAGGTCAGTCTTTGAGTCACAAGCTTGCCTTCATTAATTCAAAGTTTTACTTTTTCAGTCTAATATATGTTTGTCCTTTTTTTTACTAACATTGAATAAAATAATTGTGTATTAATTATCAATATGCTAAGATCGGAATTTTAACACTTGCTCAGTCTTTTTTTTTTTTTAAATAATTAACAAATCATAGGCTAAGACATTCAAATTTATTATTTGAGCGTAGGCATATTTTTTATTTTTTTACTATATGGTAAAAAGTTTACTAACATGACAAAGATTATCAATCTTTTATAGTAAATTGTCCCTTAAACCTTAAAAGAGGCACTTTGGTTTTGGTAGAGAAAATTTGCCAAGTCATTTAATGCTATCAGCTTTTTACCACTTCTGAACTAGTTGGAGCCAGCTTTCTGTACAAAAAAAGTGTATACTAATGTCATATGGATGTCTCTTTCATGTGAATTATGAAGCTTTTAACTGGCAAATATCTTTATTTCCTCAAAAAGAAAAAAAAAATATACATATGTATTTTATATATGAGTGAAAAATACAAGCATTTTATCAAAAGTTCCAAAAGGGGATTAAACACTCAATTTGTAAATCCATTTTATTAGTAAATGCTTTATGTTATAAAATTAGATTAATCAAATAACTATTAAATGGTTAAAAAATATAAAAGATAAAAATTTTAAAAATAATTGTTATTACTGTAGAAAAGTATGCAATGATACCAAAGTTCGTAACTTTAAAAGCATAAAA